CAGGGCTCTCTTCGAGAAAATGTTTTCCACATTTATTCTTTAACGCGTACTAAACGATGATCGTATTCGAAGGTAGGAAAACTGCAACGATATCCCGGAACTAAAAGCGAAGATATGATGAAACTTTGCTCTCGAATACAGACTTGAAAACTAGAAAATCAAGCCAAAAATAGGGAAAGCGTTTATGATGTGGATATCCTAGGTACAATAATATAATCAGAAAATCTCTGCCCTAAGTTTGAAGCATCTTTCGTACAATGGGATCTTTCTTATCGCTTTTTATATGTAGGCGGTTGAGAGGTAATCAGCTGGAAAAGCTGCCTCGAAACATTCTTCAAGGGATGTCCACATTAGAGGAGGTGTAAGTATAAATTTTGTGATTTGTTTTCAAAAATTCTTCGTCAACGTTAATATTTCTTTCCTCTGTATTGCATTTGTGATCTATTGCTCTCAAGCAGTTCAAAATATGGTTTTATACACCTCTCGTTCTTGATTTATTTATGGGAGCCACTAGTTAACCAGTCTGACATGGAGTTTGATCAGTTTTGTGTCAGTAGTTCATAAACAGGACGTTCCAAAGTTAGAGAATGTCACAATGAAGTTTTACTTCAGTTGTAGACAAAAACGGGACCACTCTCGAAAACGAAAAGTTGCACTTTCTTCCTTTGCATTAAATAAAACGAGAATATATCTTTATTGAAACGGAGACACGGGTTTGACGAATTCTAAAAAAAAAAACAAAACAGAGAAATTACCCTTAAAAAAACTTGTTGACACATTTTTGCTCTCATTTTGTGCGTTTTCATGCTAACTCAAAATGCCTGCTTGTAATTTTGCATAATGAAAGGAGACTTAAAAAAATCAAATCGTAAATTTAATAATGACATATGCATTGGGTCGTTTTTTGCTCTGGGTCACGTGACATTGGGTGTGTCCAGACGACTTCACCAGCTTGCTGGCGCTCACTTCTGTAAACAATTGTGCAAAGCTAATCCAATAGAAAAAAAATTTCGATTTATAGCCAACTGAATCCACTTTCTCCCTTATTCGACAAGCAAACATTATACGCAAAGCTTGCATCTTTCCTCGCTAAAATGAAAATAAATACTACGCAACTCGGAAATCATCCGTCTGCCTTACAACTTTGTTAAACCATCGAATAAAGTGTATCTATTCATCGAACGTAACAAAAACCCAAAAAAATTGGACAGGGAAATTTGAATGTTTCTCAGAGAGGGAGTTCTCAAGTTTTCAAAGATTACTACAACTGATTACTAAAACTGATTAATGACTACTTCTGCCTAAGCTCTATAAGATAAGAAACTCGGCAGAAAAAAGGTCATCCAAGACAGAAATGACAGAGTTCCACATAGCCCTTGGAAATGTAGTTTATTAACTAAATGTTTGCTTGTTTTTTTTTCTCGCTGGCAATCATCTCATTCTCCCAACACGTTTCTTCAGGGACTTGTCCTACAATCAGTTGCAGAGTTTGCCACGAGAGATACTAAGCAGTAATACTAAACTGAAAGTACTGTAAGTAGGACTTTTCTATGTAAAAAAAAACCTTTACACGTCAGTGTTAACATTCATACGTGGTGATCCAAACCAGTGGAGAATATCGCTCATTTCTACCTTTCTCGTACAGAGTTTGCTCATTTGGAAATTACTGAGTAAAGTGTTATTTGA